GAGAAGGGCTCAACACAGTTGTCTTTCCAGCCCTCACCTTGATGCCACTCAATTCAGTCTCTCCCTGTATGTCTCTGGCATCTCTTGAGCTGCTATCCTTTCCCCAGAGCTCAGGGTGCGTGCTTGCAAGTGAATGAGTCTGTGCACGGGCTCTTTAAGAGGAAAGCCTGGGTTTCCTGCAGCCTTCTGTGTCACTCAGGTGGACAGAATTTCCACTGTTTTTCACAGCCAGATGTTATGAGGGCTTCTTTCCCCAGCACTGGTCCTCTGGGATGAGAAGCCTGGTGTGGGCCTGGGACCCCTCGCTCTTCAGGGGGGACTTCTGAGCTATGCCTCCTGTTTCTCAACCACCACACATGGGTGAGGGACCAGCCCGTTTGTGTCTCTGCCCCTCCTACCAGTCTCCACATGGCTTCTTCTTTATGTCCTTAGTTATAGGACTTCTGTTCAGCTAGTCTTCAGATGGTTCTCCAGGTTGACTGTTCTATAATTTAGTTGTAATTTTACTGTGGTCATGGGAGGAGACAGGCACAGCATTTACCTACTCTACCATTTTGACCAGAACCCATTGTTACAGTCTTGAGGCAGAATTCCTTCTCTTTCAGGAAATCTTAGTTTTTGCTCTTAAGGCCTTCAACTGGTTGGATGAAGCCCATCCATGTTGTCAAAGGTAATCTCCTTTACTTCAAGTCAACTGACTGTAGATGTTAATCACATCTATGAAATACCTTCACAGCAACATCTAGACTAGTATTAGAGCAAACTGGGCTCCATAGCCTAGCCAAGCTAACGCATAAAATTAACCATCACCCCTGCCATCACTTGACATTTTCATAAAGTGCTATTTTGACTGTGAAAAACATTAAATCATTCTAGGGTTTATTCTCATATATCAGCTAATGACTATAGTCAGGTAATGGCCATGTTGGTTGTTCCCCACTTACCCCCCACCCCTACCTCATTCTCTACCCTCCCCTGCCCTGCTCTGTGCCCATGGACACCAACCTCTGGATCGGCACCACCTGGGCTCCCTCACCTTAGGCTTGGCCAGTAAGACACACCAGAGATCTGAGGTCAGGATGACAGAGAGTTCAAGATATGCATTCCCTGGTTCTTGCTCCCTAGTTCCACGCCTCTGGCACTGGCTTCCTTCTCCCGAGGCTCCAGACCTCCGTGGGCTCCTGGAACACTATTTCTCCTCTTGCCTCTTCAGCCCTAGCTTTTCAGTGTCATTACTCTCTGGTTCCCTTGGCTCGGCTGGCACCTCACTAAATAAGCAATAGTTTCATTAAGGGTATTCCAAGTCAAGTTGGTTCTGTTTTCCTGCAGAGACTGTGATTGACAACAATAGCAGTCCCAGCTGGGGACTCAGAAGAATGGACAGTTGAAGGAAGAGGGCCAAAGTGAGGTGTAAAGTACTGTCTCCCTTAGCAGGGGCTCAGTGCCCATCTCTCTGGGAGAAAGTCCTGACCTCAGGGGGCTTCCAGTGAGCAAGAGAAAGAAGGCAGGTCATAAGCTACCTCAGGACCTAGGCCTGCGGGGCCTTTTGTGGGGGGGTTTAGTACCCACATCCTGTGAGGTAATCAGCTCTGTCTTGGCTCTGGCTCCTGTGTCATGCTGGGAGAATGTTCTGGTTCCTAAGTAGAGAGAGGGAAGATGAAGTGACACTGCACTCATGGCTCCCTCCCCAGCTCCATTACAGGAAGCAGAAACATCTCTATCCAACCTCCATCCACACCTGCCTTTCAGGATTCCCTGCTGTCATAGTGGTGGAGGAGGTGTCCCTTCTTCCCTGACCCTGACCTCAGGGTTCTGAATCCTAGCCCCTCTCCCCTCCTCTCTAGAGAAATTGTCTCTTCTTTTCCTCTTCTCTCTTTCCTGCCTCCTTACCATCAGCCCTGAGAGTATTTAAATCTTTCCCATCTAAAAAACAAAACAAAAAACACCTCAAACCCAAGTCCCTCTGTACCTTTGCTCTGTTTGTCCCTGTTCCTTCACAGTGAAACTTCTTACCAGAGCCCTCCACCTACCCAGCCAAGGCCTCTCCCTATACAAATATCATCATCCTCACTCTGTATTTTTCCACCTCTTGTGATCTGGCCAGCCTGTACTGCTTGAAAGCCCCCAGTGTTCCACACACCCTCCTTTTGCTTGTACAGCTTAAGCCCACTCTCACCTCCTTTGTCCTTGCTGGTAATCTCTGCTTAGATATCCCTTCCTCTAAGAAGCCTTTCTTGAGGGACATGGCCAGATTCAAGTACAGCATGCCCCACAGCAGGCCCCCATAATACTCTCTATTTCCCTGTTAGAGCTCATGACACAGTATGAGGGACTTGCTTATTCATTGGTCTGCAAGCATCACCAGACTATAATCTTCCTGAGGCAGGGACAGTGTCTGGTTTCCCGTTCCACTTCCAGCTCCTAGCCCAATGCATAGCTCCAGTGGGTACTCAATACATGCTCTAAATGGATGAATGGACAAATGACTACTGACCTCCAAAATACGGGGGTGTAGGATTGTCATGTAGTTCAGAAGCTCCAGAGGGCAGTGTGGGAGGTAGGCCATTTTAAGCAGCAGAGCTGTCCAGCAATAGGACAGACAGACCAACAAGGCCAGGACTCCTGTCACTGTGTTGACAGGGCTGATGCCGGCTGACTCCAGCTGAGGTTCAATGATGGGAAACATGGACTACAAGACCTAACAGCACTCTGATGCTAAAATTCAGTGTCTCCTCCTTGCCTGGAACTGAGGCCCTCACCTGTGGTTTCCCCAGCCATAGACAGGCACTCACTGCAGGACGGTGGTGAAACCTCTCCAGAGCCTTGGAGGTGGAGATGATCAAGTCTGGGTCACACCCCCGCATCACCACAAGAGGGAGTGTTGGGCTTAGACTTGCCCTGAGCATGGAGGTGAGCCGGGAAGTTGACCTAGTCTGAGGTAGGCGGGGAGAGCCAGGAAAGGCCTGACGGAGACATAGCTCTGCTGAAGGTGCAATTAGAGTGGCCAGACCCATTGCTGGCCCGAAGATCAAAAAATTCATTGGAACACAGAGTTGTTATGGTGTTTTAAAATTAAAGACATATTACTATTATCTATTACTCAGAACTTTCAAGTGCAAAATGGGCAATGAGTTTCTGTGTAACCCCCTTAGATGTGAGTGAAGGCTGGATAGTGGATGGGGTAGGACGTCCAGGGTTAAGAGCTCAGCATTAGGAATATCAGGGCAGGGAATAGCTTTGTATCCAGTCTAATCCCCAGAAACAGTTGCTTTATCCTGGTTCCCAGAGCACTTCTCACTTTATCACCCTGACACTAACCCTCTCTGCCCCCCACCCCACCCCCTGCAATGGTGACATAAGATGGACTCTGATGTGTGATTTTAAAAGAGGACTAGGAGTTCTTCCTGGCCTCTACCTTCTTTCCATCAGCCCTTTTGAGAAGCCTGAACTTGGAATCATTCTCTGTGGGTACTCTAAGGCAGAGGGCCGACCCCCATCACACACCTCATGCTCTGGGCCCTACAGTCCATCTGGCAGACAGCAGGAACTAGAAAGGACTTGTTGCTTGGTGGCCTTCCAGGATGCGTTGTTCTCCACCCTTCTTCCAGCCCTGATAACTCAATCCAGCTGACATGACAGGAAATGAGAGTGAGCAGCAGGGCCTGCGGCCAAGAAGGCCATGTTTCCTTGCTGAGGTGAGAAACAGGGCTGGTGGAGGGTCCTCCCTCCCCTGATCACCTTCTCCAGGGCTATAGCCCATTCAGCGACATGTCTGAAAGGCGAAGCTTGATTCCTAGAGATTTCTAGAAATGGGGACCAGGGAGCTAGTGACTTGCTAGAGTTGCACCCGAGAGGCTCAGATGTCACACCTGGAGGACCAAGAGGACCTGGGTAGGGATCAAAGTTGATCACAGTTTTAAGACCATAGCATCCTGCAGTAAGGCTTTGGCTGCTCCCTAAAAAAGCCCTCCAGCTGTTGAGAGAGGATGAGGGTAAGGGAGGCAGGGAGAGATCATTTGTGTTTCATTTGCATTTCATTTGCATATGGCTCTATTGATGTCCAAAGCCACTGAAATTTCCTGTCCTTGTTTCTTCTTTTTCCCTTTCTTTCCTCTGGTCCTTTGTAACCTCCAGGCAATCCCCTATCTCTCTCCCCTTCCTCACAGTTTTTCCTCTCCCAGGCTAAAAACAGATATGGAGTATTAGGCCCAGGGGGTTGGCACCTTCCCCATCACCTCCCATCTGCCCAGAATTCAAAAAGCTGATTTCATGGAGACTATGAGTGTGGAGAAGGAGGGAGGGCTAAAGGGGTCTTCTGAGATCCAATTCTAGTTTATCTACTTGAAATTATCACCAGGCAAGTCAGACGGGGAAGAAATAAAAATTGTCCAACCCTGCCCCTTGCCCCATACACAGATGCCACAAACCCACCCAAACTTCTAAGACCCAGGAAGAACATAGGAAGGAGAAGCAGAGAAAGGGAGAGGGACTCTGTTCTGCCTTTCCTTGCTGTGTGACCTTGGGCAAGTCTCTTCCCCTGTGAACTTCCTGTTCTTCATATGAATGATATCTAGGTTCCCTCATATCATTCCCTCAAGTTATAAGATCATTCATATAAGGGAAAAGAAGAGAATGAGAGATAGGCTCAGGCACTGGAGGAAGCAGGATTAAAAGCATCAGCTTTGGAGTCAGGGAGACCGATCGAAATCCCAACTCAGTCATCTACTGGCTGCATTAACCTACTTGAACCTTAGTTTCTTCTATAAGAGGAGCCTAAAAATTATATCTCCCTTCTAAAGTTGTGCTGATTAAATAAGAAGGAGCATGTCCAGCATGTAGCACCTTTCCTGGCATATAGGAAGCAGTCAATCAATATTTATTGAAAGAATGGCTAAAGGAATGAGTGAATGATTGAAGGAAATGTAATGTCTGCCACCCTCCTCCTCTCTCCACAGCCTCCTACCCTTCCATCCTCTCACCTCACGTCTGAAACCCAAAACTGTGCTTCCAACTGTGAACCTCCAAGGCCCCATCTGTGCCCCAATGGGCACCATCCCCAAGAGCTCCACCTCTACCTCATCCCCAGGACCCCAGAATCCTAGGCTGCTGGAGCTGGAAAGCCCTTGGAAATCCTTAGGTACACGCTCCTCTGGCTTCTGGAAAACTAAAGCCCAGAGGAAAAAAATGTAACTTCTCATGGAAAAGAAAACAGGTGCCAGATATGGTAGTCAGAGAATGAGACCCTCGGTGCACACAGCCATGCAAATGCTATGCAAATAGAGCTATGGAAATCACAAGCACACAGGGGTATATAAACTACGTGCAGGTATTTTTCTACAATGATGGCAAGTGATGTGCATTGGTAGATTAGAAATGGACCTTAGGAAAGGGGCCAAGCCTGAAGTGGAAGAGGGGAGGGAAAGGCAGGCAAAGAGGAGGGAAGGCAGAGACAGCCTGAGTTGTGTGTGTG